CCATTCCCAGCCACCCGGCAGCTGCAGCTCTTGCACTTCTGGCTCTTCCTGGGCATCTACCTGGCTGCCCTCCTGGGCAACGGCCTAGTCATCACCACCATCGCCTGGCACCACCACCTCCACACCCCCATGTACTTCTTCCTCCTCAACCTCTCTGTTCTCGACCTGGGCTCCATCTCCACCACTGTCCCCAAAGCCATGGCCAATGCCCTCACAGGCAACAGGAGCATCTCCTACCTAGGATGTGCTACCCAGATCTTTTTCTTCGTCTTCTTGGTATCAGCAGAGTATTTTCTTCTCACTGTCAAGGCCTATGACCGCTACGTGGCCATCTGCCAACCCCTGCACTACGGGACCCTCCTGGGCACCAGAGCTTGTGCCCACATGGCAGCAGCTGCCTGGGCCAGTGGGTTTCTCTATGCTCTTCTACACACGGTCAATACATTTTCAGTGCCCCTCTGCCAGGGCAATGCTGTGGGACGGTTCTTCTGTGAAGTCCCACACATCCTCAAGCTCTCCTGCTCACACTCAGACTACCTCAGGGAAGTTGGGCTTATTGTATTTAGCGTCTCTTTATTTTTCCTATGTTCTGTTTTCATGTTTATGTCGTATGTTGTGATCTTCAGGGCTGTGCTGAGGATCCCCTTGGAGCAGGGACGGCACAAACCCTTCTCCACATGCCTCCCTCATCTGCTAGTGGTCTCCCTGGTTATCAGCACTGGTATCTTTGCCAATCTGAAGCCCCCCTCCATGTCCTGCCCATCCCTGGACCTGGTGGTGTCAGTTCTGTATTCAGTGGTTCCTCCAGCAGTGAATCCCTTCATCTATAGCCTGAGGAACCAGGAGCTCAAGGATGCTCTCAGGAAACTGATCAATTTATTTTACTCTGAAGCAAGAAAATGTCTATTTCCTTCTGCACAAAATTCATAGCGTAGTTCAGTGTATCCCCAGCTTGTTTACTGTTATTTTTGTTGTGGATGATATTTTCTTAGCTTTAATAATATTTTCATGCCCTTTCTAATTCAGTGTCTGCTTCTTTTTACTGACATTCTTTTTGCTGAGCAGAAGACGAAGAGAGTCCCGGCACAGGAGCACGGCAGGGAGCACCAGCTCTTGGTGTGTCCAGAGCTGCTCTCTCCACTCCCCCCCCTC